ATGCCTCCTCTCCTGTTGTCCTCACAGTTTATCATGGTTCACAGGTGATTTGTAGCAGGACTAATGATCACGGAATTGTAGTAGGAGGAAAGTCACTGTAAGGCAGATACACACCTATACTGTGGTAATGAGCAGGATAAAAATAAATCCTTTGGGGGAGGAAGCATGATTTTTGTGTTTTCAATTTTGCCCCAGTCTTCCTGTGTCTTAGCCTTCTGGTGTGTATGTTTTTTAGTCTGTGAAATGGGAGTAAGTGTTATTTCGTAGATTTAGAATGTAATTCCTTATTGGTTCTGTCTAAGAGTTATCTGCTTTATTTATGAAGGCTTTGGCTTGCAATCTACATGTGGGGCACACTCAGCCTACAGCTTTGATTTAGCAAGCTGCGCTGAAATCAAATCTGGTATGGTTTCTATGAGTAATACCGTTTATCCACAGAGAAGTTCTCAGCGTGCATATCACAGAGATCGTGGACCTTTCCAACCTGTGTAACCTCCTCTAATAAAGATACAGTTACTGCAGTTGCCCTCTTGTGAAAAGTGGATCCATTTGTGTTTTTATTCTGCGGCCTGAATAGAAGATGTAACAGAATGGGCACTGTTCACTGGACGTGGGAATTCTCCCTTGCTCTGACTCATGTAGAGCAGCAGGGAGGGGGAGGAAAACGGGCTCTACAAACCCAGTATCCAGTTTTGTCATTTAAAAAAACCTTTTTGATCTGAACTTTGCGCATTTAATATTCCAGAGAGTAGAAGTTTGATAAGAGTCCATAACAGTGCTAGAGAAAGATAAGGCTCACTATTGTACTAAAACAATGTTGCAGTGCCAAGACAGTATATTTATGCTTTTTTGTTGCAAGACTAACAGTGCCCATCAAACGTTGTATAATTTGGTATTATACTAAGTAAAGGAAAAAATACCCAGTCATTCTCTAGGTTGCCATAAAAAATGCTTTCAGCTTAATACACAACTACAATGCAAACCAGTCCGTTAGCGTGATGTGTTGCTTCACAGCAGCCAGGACTAATATAGTGTGGTGAAATTACCGATCTGGTGGGGACCAAGGTTTTTTTGTGTAGAATAGAAAAGATACTGATTTTTTTTTTTCCCCATTATGATCAATCACTATTTTGCCAATATGTTTTCTAATGCCTCTTGCAGAGTTTCATGATAGTTTGTCAAAGCTGGATGAAAACTTATGTTTCACCATTGTGGTCAGTCAATTTTTAACATGCTTAAAAGAAGCAGCATTGCCAAGTTTTCCTTCAAGCCTGTGAAGTCAGGGTCGCAGGAGTAGGACAAAGCCTCAAGAAGCTTTGGGAGCTAATGGAGAATTGCAAACTCTTTGTTTATTGCACCTGGCACTTTCTCAAAATCTGCTTCACAGGGGCCAAACCACTCATTTCCTCAAGCAGATAGAGAGGATGCTTTCTCTCCCTGAGTCAAAGCTCTGTGACTTTGTAAATAAGGCAGTATAAACGTATATTTTAAAAGTGTACTTTCTAGAGGGACTGCAGCTAGCACATTGCAAACTTTTATCTCAGAGGACCTGGACTTCAGGACTAGTTAAACTGGTTAAGCTAAAAAGAAGTATACGCTTTAAAACCACCTGCTGTCACAACAGCTAAGACATGAATTGTGCCTGAATTGTCTGAAATGGGATTTTTAAGCACACTAAACTGGTATTAAATTGAAAATAAATGCTTTCCCCCCGCCCCCCTTTTCAAGAGCATTCTGGTGGTTTTGAGACCCATGGCACAAACTTTGGGGAACCTGCCTCTGTCGGAGCTCTGCCCACAGTTGTTTCAAGGCAATGAGTCAGGACCCTTTTACACAAGTTTCTCAATATGTAATTTTTTTATTTCTACTGCTGATGTGATCGTTTCATGGATCTTGTTTGATATACATAGTCACAAGTGTTGGTCTGTCAGATGAGGCCCAGGAGCTAACTCAACCTTCATTTTCTTGTCCATCATTTTCTAATTCTTCATTCTTAGGAATTAATCCAGCAGATGTAAATGTGGAAATAATTCTGTATGATCTCCTGCTTTAAGGCAGTCTTTCCCAGATTTGGACAATGCAGAGCAACTGTGTTAACCTTCCATCAAGCAGATGGAAGCAATTCTCTAGAGTAGAATCCATTGATTGTTCGTTGAAATTTAAACTCTCTATTTTTCAGGAAATTCCAGTGTTTTGAATTCATGGTTCCACCATGCATTGAAATGAGATTTTTAATACAGTCAGCCTGTGCAATTGTTTTCATATTTATTGTATTTTATATTGTAATTTAATACAAAAGCCAAAACACTAACTTTCATGTATTAGACTGTAGCTAAAAACACAGCAATGGAGTTGAAATGAAGGGTTGTAACTTTACCAAAACTCAATATGTGGATTTAATGAAAATGAAATGTTTTAATTGTATTGCCTTTAAAAAAAAAAAAAGTTTTAAGAATACGCTGGTTGCACAAAAACATTGAAATTCTAATTATTGTTTCTCTGTTGTCTGGAAAAATGTTTACTTTCTTGGGAATTTTGAATTTAGCTTTCTATGTGCGATGTGACTCTAAACACAGAAATGTCATAATACTGATTTCAGTGGGAGTGACTCAGATGACTTTTAAGACAAGACATAACTGACCTGAAATTTCTTGATGAGAAATCTAACAAAAAACTTCTTATCAGTGAATGCAATGAGCCTATGGAACAGACTTCAAAGTCTCCTATGAGAAGTATGCTAGAAGCAAAACATCTTAGAGTATACTGTAGGGGGAAAAAATGGAAGCTTTCTGTGAAAATGGACAAGGTTAACAGGCCCTTTCATCTTTCATGTCTGTGATTTGAGTTTTGTTTTATTTCAGCCTGAAATAAAGGCTTTATTCTTCAAGGGCAATAACAGCATGTTTTTTGTAACTCCTTAGCTTTCAACAATAGAGTATAATATTTTGGTTCACATTGTGTGAGAACTGCAAGTGTTTTTCTGACTTCTTGGCATAATGATTTATTAGTGTTGACACTCCAGGGTTGTTTGTCAGTAGAAGTCAAAAGCTCAGGTTTTGCTCCTTCTGGCAGATTACATACGAATTATGCAAATCGCTATAGTGCAGGTTATAACCTAATTATGTTATACATCTTGAACAATGGTAATTTCTGTAAGGGAAAGCTGTCTAGCATTTTAGCTGCTAATGCATTTTTTTCTCCTTTTTGTATTCTACAAAAGAAACCACATTAAAAAGTGATAGTATGTCTGCAGGTTTTGCTACTGTGCAGCTTATCTGCTTGTGCTGCTAAAATATGTGAAAGCAACATAGCAGTCCAATTGCCTGTATTTATATGGTTAGTGGCTTTTCTAATGCAAAACTGATATTTTTTTTTTCCAGGGCTTTAACAATCTGTTGATAATAGTTAGCAATAAACTGTAACTTCACTTACAGAATTTCACAGAAGACTAGAAAAATTTCATTCTTTGTTTTGTCCAGGTAAATCTAACCTGCAAATTCAAGATACTTTGTAATCTTATAGCTCATATTTTTATATGCCAATTTATAGTCTACTTGCAAGTTATTTTATTTATACATAAAACATATGCATTTTAGGAGTAAATACTTGGTTATTACATTTTTCTCCAACATTTTTGTTAGCTTTCACTTCAAGTGAAATTCTTCCTTTTAATGTATTCACTTCTCTCAGTTGCCTTAATAAGTGCTTTTTATGTGTCTGTATTCCAGTTTCAAATCAAGGCAGCTCCACATAGTTACCTGCTGACCTCAAGAAAGTGGTGATTCTAACTGTGGAATGAGGGCATTTTCAGTCCAGAAATCTTTCCTTTGACATCAAATGGCTGAAATTGCCCAATGACTTCTTTTTTTTTCTAAAAAAAAAAAAAAAAAAAACAACAGTATAACTTTTGCCTTAATTCCTTTCTTTTTTGCTATAGATATTTGTATGCATGTATATAGATAAGCACATGCATATACATTATATAGAATTGGCCAGCACAAATACTGGATTAACAACAGTGATGGTCGTCTGTGCTCACATACCTTGAGACATCTGCAGAGTTACAGATTGAAATGCAGATCAAGTCAGTCAAGACAAAGTTCACATACTGAAGAAAGAAGTCTGATTTGTAGTCCACAGAATCCACAGCCTAAGGAGACTACTACTAGCCTGATCACAGTTGGTTTCCCTGTTAACCGTGTTTAGCACACAGTAAGGACCAAACTATCAAAGATGAGTCAGGGTTGAGGTGTGGTGGCAGGCCAGTATTGGGAGTTGTGCTTTATCATATCTGAGGTTTGAAGGAAGACCTCCGATTTCAGGACTGTCAGCACTTAATTTATACACATGCACGCACACTTAAGGCTTATTTAAAAAAAATAACCTTCATATCACCTATGTGCCATTTAACTTTATTTACATGTCAACAGGAGCTGAGAAATCTAGCTACATTTTTAAGCTGCTTGGTTCTTGTTAGACACTGCTCGCTTAATTGAAGTTTTTATGCTGAGTGTTCCGTAGCATATCGTAATGATCTAATAGAAATATAAGGAGTGCTATATAGTTCATTTGGACTGCATGACCTTGTGTTGTATTGCTCACACCTTATTAGTCTTCAGCAAATGTTCCACTTTTCTTTAGTTTTGGCAAGCTGCTCAGAACACCATTTCCTTCTTTTCATTCTGGTGGAGTCCAATTGTTCTTTGCTTATACTACGTTAGCCTTTCCCAGAATTTAGCCTGGAGTTTTTATACACTGGGGAGTTTCCAGTGTGTTTAGATTATAAAATGATTTCCTAGTGTGACTGTGACAGAACCACGCTTTCAGATAATACTGTCAAACTAGATTTCAGTGCTGTTTTTCTGTCTGTCTTTGCAGTATTTTGCTATGCAGAAATGATGCGTGCAATCATTTTGTCTCTTGAAAGTGATATTTTTCAAATCATCCTCCCAAACAGTTAGGATTGTCCCAAAACTTTTTCTTGTTCTCTTTCTCATTAGGTTTGTGTAGATCAATTGGTGTAAGCAACTTTCTTATAAGTCATCTTGAGCAGCTCAGGGAAGACTGTGTGATTACTCCACATGTTAATCAGGTGAGTGGATAAATGTATTTAAAGCATCTGGGTTTGGGTTTTTGCTTTGGGTTTTTTTGGGTAATAATCTCCTCCCCACCCCTATGCCTGAAAGACTACACCCAAACTAGCCTTCATCATACAATTTCTTCTCTTTCATTTCTATATATATACGTCTTGAAAACCATTCAGGAAGATGACTTGAAGTGAGGGGGCGGGGAGAACCTCTCCTTTCTTCTCCCCAGTTTCTCCGAGGCTACTTGTTTGTGGCTGGTTTTAAGTCACAAACAAATGGTCCATGTGCCAGTTTTTGATGATAAAACAGTTTAGAAATAAAATTCAAGGAGCACTGAACCTTTAGCATCTTCAGAGTGAACAAGGTTTTGGGGAGCCTGTGTTTCAAATACTATATATAATTCCTCTAAGCAACACTGAAAGCCTCAGGTGATTACATATCCATGGAAGGGTCCTGTTTCCTTTGCTCCTCCCTTATTTCATATTCATGTTTCAAGGTCACATTAAATTCAGTGAACTTCTCATTTAGGAAGGTGCTGCGAGAGCCCTGGCAAAATTTTTTTGCTGCCCTGGGCAGATAAAAAATGGCCACCTACATACCAGCAGACTTCCAGGACACTGACAGCTATTCCTTTGTCACAGTTTTCTGCCCACAGCTGTGCTGGAAGTTCATGCTCCCATTCCTGCCACCTCCTGCCAGTGAAAGTCTGCTTATGCTAACACACAACTGGGAACTGGAGTGGATGAAGTGCAGGCTCATGCTTTTCCCCTTTGTACAGGTGGTGAGGATTTCTGGCAGCTGTTCATGGTTTAATGTCATAAACAGCCACAAAAAGATTGCTCAGAATGTGACTGTCAGAACCTACCATCTCTGATTTCTGCTGTCCACTAGACTAAAGGTTACTAAAGGACAATAATGAGTAATGTTAAATTAACATAAAACCATATAAAATATGTAAATTCAGTTATTCAAAATAAGCCATTGAAATATGTCTTAAGATGGGCAGGTTGATGACTGTTTAAGAATTGGTGACTTTGCTAAGGTTCAATTTAGTCTCCTTTTCAGAAAAATACATCTTCAAAGTCTTACTGGAGTTTGGCATAAGTTGTTACTGTCTGTTAAATGAGAATAGTCTTTCAGTGTCCTACTAAATCACGGCAAGGAAAAAAAAAAATGTAATCTTGGATTTGTTTTGAAATTTCCTTTTACTCACAACGTCAAAATGTTACCAGTCTTACTGTGTCAGTAGTGTTACTGGAGAAAAGTTGTTCCTTGATATTATTTGTACATAAACTCACCTGAACTGTTCCTCTATACAGAAAACATTTCTAGGCTTATATTTCAGTTTTATAACGAGAAATAATTGTAAGACTGTGCATTCCCATTGAGAAACTGACTGAAGTCCAGATGCAGGGAAACTTTACCAGGTGAAAACAACCCACAGCAGGGTGGAAAGAGTAAGGCTTTTGTATATCGTCATCCAAGGTATGACTTTCTAGGTCCGCGTGTCAGGATTGTTATTAGGCTCAACTTGTCCCCATTGCGCTATGACTGTCATAAAAAACAGTGCTTACTTAGAGTTCCCCTGTGACTGACCAAGTAGCAGCTGTGAAGAGTTCTGTAATGTGAACTACAAACCTTTTGGTTTTTTGTTTCATTAAACAAATGCCAGTTTTTACATACAAATCACTCAGGGTAGCGCCAGAAAAGATCAAGATCTTCCTCTGCCACCCTACGACAGACAGCCCTCACCTGGGAAAAGTTTGGTGACTAAAATAGCAAGGGTGGGGCAAGCCAGGAAGTAGGAATTATTTTGAGGGGAAGCACATGCTGGCTACACTCACCCTATACCTCTTCTAGCTCAGGATGCTAGTCTTTTGCATTCGATTCTGTTAGAACCTTCCAGAAAGTTTTCACAAGAAAAATAAATTCAAAAGTACTTATTATGCATTTAATTATTTTAGCAGTATATTTAAGAAGAAAAATACTTGCTGCTACCAACACACAACTGCACATGCCAAAATTCAATTCACAAAATTTGGGAGTCTCTTGATTCAATGAAAGGCACAAAGTATAATCTTGCCAGGTGGGAAGTAGTTGTTGCTGTGTATTCTGCTTGTGAAGCAGGCAGGTGACATCTCAGCATGCTGTTCTTGCTTTAAATATTTCTGGTGTAACCTGGAACTGTGCTGCCTAGAAATCTTATTAGACCAGGAGGTAAATTCTGCTTGCAGTTATAGTAGTAATAAGTGCCGAATAAGTCATCTGATGCCATAGGGGTACTGCAGATTTTTCAGCATCCTAAATACATCATTCGTTATTTAATATTTTCTAGGCTATGTTATTTGTTACACTTATTGCAAAGAACGTCTATTAAAATGGCTTATTACTATTGTAATAATCGAGTAATACACCCTGCTTGCTCTTTCCTTTTTCCCCTCATAGTTTTGCGTAAAAACAATGAGAATATTTTCTAGCCAGCTCAGGTGCAAACAAGTGAAGAACTGTATGACCTAAACACTGGTCTTACACCTATAAACATGAAATACAAAGGCTACTCAAAGGTCAAGAAACATCAAAGGTTGAAGACATGGATGTGTCTGCTGCTTGAACCTTGTTCCCGAGTCCACCTAGTAATTTAGATCATAGCAGCTTTAGGCTGACTCAGCCCAGCCTTCGAGGGGCACGGTTTTTTCTTAGCGCACATTGAATGACTGCCAGCCTATTGTTCCCGACTATTGTTGTCTGAAAAGACAACATGTACTAAAGATGAGAAACAGGAAATGTTCATTTGTCCTCTTTGTGACAGAAGAAATTTTCCAGATTCCATGTGTTGAGGTAATTGTTCAGAAAAGTATTTTTCTTCAAAACGCGCAAGAGTTAGATCACTGGAACAATGGTGACAGCCAGTCACAAAAATACATCACATGATTATGTATTTTATAAAAGAAAACACTACCATTTTCATCTGAACGCAGAGGAAGGTATGCTTCTTACAATGTATAAACTGTGAAAGACTTTTATTTAAATAACATAGTAAGGATTATTACAGAGGTTCTCTTTTGGCTGTTGCTACGTGCCAGAATACGTGGCTCTTCCGAGATCCTTACTTTCCAATAACTTCTGTTCCTTCTGCTTCCAACAACTATGTTTTTGTAGCTTGTTACTTTTCCTCTTTTAACTGGTTCTTGGCAATTTGTGATCTTCCTACAAAGGGTCTCCTTCACACGTCATTCCACAGCATGATTACTTCCCTGTGTAAGCTGTTGGTGACATCACACACAGAATACGGGATTTTCCATGTACAGTCCATGCCAGCGGGCTTTGCTTCCGAGGTCAGGCCCTCATCCTAAGCAAATTGTTTTGGTTGGTCTCTTGCAAACCCAGTCCCTGCCCAGCCCCCTCCCCTTGCCGGTGCAACTCAAAGTTCATTAGTAAAGAAACAGGAAAGGAAGTAGACTTGGGGAAGAGTAGGTAGTCTCAAATCACCCATAAAAATGACCTGATGCTGACTTCCACTATGCATTTGCAAATATTTCTCAAACACGGAGCAGAACAAGAGTGCAAGTCCAACTGCAGGTAGGGCAGACAACTGCTCCTTGCACCTTACTTCTGGGAGAAGTGTAAAATAGGTAGTAAACTATTGTGCCAATTAATGGCAAAATGCTTGTGGATTAATATTCTTCACATGTCTTCTAAAACTGATAACTTACATCTGTCTCCCAGAAGCAGTGATTTCACTCATGTTGTATTTTTAAAACGAGAGAAAAAATATTTTCATTTATCAATGATGTTTTCTACTAAATGTACTCTCAAGGCTTTTACTAAAAGCTTATTTCTATTTATCTCAGGTTGAATACCACCCTTTTCAAAGACCTCAGGAGCTGGTGGATTATTGTAGGAGCAGACATATTGTTTTTGAAGGCTACTGTCCTTTAGCCAAAGGTGAAGCACTCACTCATCCTAATATCATTCAGCTGGCAAAGAAATATGGCAGAACTCCAGCACAGATTTGCATACGCTGGAGTATACAGGTAATGGAGGGTGGTAACAAAAACATGTCTCCTCTCTCAGAAAAAAAATGCAACTAGTTTGGGTTTTGTGCATCAAAACAGAATTTATACAGAAAGTATTTTTGCCTTCAGTATGTTGATACCACATGAACTAACTGTGCGGTACTGGAAATTTGGAATGTAGTACGCAAAGCATGGCAGTATTTTAAATATGCAAATAATCTGATTGTAGAGAATAAAAAGAACCACCAATAAAAGATATTTTTTTCAAACTAAATGTTACAAGCAGTATGGGGCATCATTCTATTTCTGTCACTTAACACAAAGTACTAAGCAGTGAAATAGTGTATTAAGTTGACATAAACCACATAAAATGTGTTGGAATTTAATGCAGTGTATATAACTTCAATTAAAAATAGCATATAGAAATGTCAGTGTCCTCTGAAAAATGAAATTAAAACCTCAGAAGACATGAGGAATGTCTTGAAATGTTTTGAAGAGAGATTATTTTCTTTGAAACTATGTAAATTTTAATGATGAGAGGCATTTGTTTTTCAGAATGGGATTGTCACTATTCCAAAGTCCACAAAAGCAGAAAGGATACAGGAAAACTGCAAGGTAAGATTTGGTTATGCACTCGAGTCTGACTAACATCCGAATTACTCTTTTTAATACTCTGGTTTGCCTGCCCGTTTTCCTGTACCAGTTTTATATTGGGGCAACTCGGTTAAAATTGGCAAATTATAGTACCATAAAATTACTACAATATAGTAGAAAACCATAATTCACAAATGTCAGAAGTCAACTGGAGAGCTAATCACTGTGTATAAAAAAGATATCCATAGAAAGACCTTGCATAGTTGTTTTTTATTATTAATATTTTTATTGATTACTTGGCTGATTGTAGAACATCCTAATCTGGTTATGGTTAGGTCCTCTTTGTGGTAGGCACATAGGTCAAATGGAAGGAGTTTGTGTGCTATGCGTAACACTGCATGAAAGCTGTAAAACTCTCTTGGGGATATCTCAGATGCAGACCTTCTAAGGAAATCAGGGTCCTGCCAGAGCTGACTCTTCTCCTGCCTTCTTCCTTCTACGCGACTTGCAGAGAAGGTCCCAGCACGAAGGGGATGGAGAAAGAAAAGTGGAGAACGAATGAGGATTGGCAGCATGATTCCCCCCCCCCCCCCCATCCACTGCCACAAAACTTAAAACACTTAGGATGGAGAGGAGGAGGAGGAGAGAACTGGCAGTTATCTAATGCTGTTTATCACATCTCCCTTTTTTTTCTTTCCCCCGTGCCAGTGTGTTGGTCTGAGTCTCTACCACCTCTGTCAAGTTGGTGAAAGTACAGACCTTTTTAAGCCCTTGGTATATAAGACAGTGTGTGCCTGGTTCTGTGACTGGTCCCTGGTTTAGGTTTAAAAAGCTTGAGCACTGAGGTTTGACTACAAGGGTCATTCCAGCAGGCAGTGATTGCTGGATAATGCAGGATGGGAGGAGCTCATTTGGCAGCAGTTCAGGCTCCACAGGATCTTTTTATTGAGTATAGAGGAGCTCTGACAAAGACAACAGACCAACTTAAAGCAACTTCAGTTCTGAAGTGGTAACGTCTGAATAAGACACCTTCTAAGAAAACACTGATGCCGTCATTCATGTTGCAGGTCTCACCACAGGAGAAGTCAGTGGCTGTAAGAACCTGTGCTTGAAGACAGGTGGTTGCTTTCAAGTTCAAGTTAGTATTGAGGCACTACAGCACTGTATCCGTTTCTGTATTAGCTGATCGATGAGTGTTTCGTCTAAGTACACATAGAAAAGATAGATGTAGCCTTTGGTTTGCTAGCTTTGTGAATGTCCTGATACCTTCTAATAATTCTCTTTGGCTAAAGTTCTGAGGAGAACAACTGTAACACTCTAAACTGAACACTGGGATATAAGTGAAATACTGAGCTCAGGTTTCCAGAGGGATTGCAGTCGGGGTATTCATATACCTCTGGCAGTGACCATAGAGAGTGCTGTCAAAAACAGCTTTGATACTACCATTGTCTTGGACCCTTGCCTGAGGCCAGAGTGCTACAAAACCATCTTAACAGAGTCTACAAATAAAAATGAGTCACAAAAGGAGCAAAGGACCCAGTGGAGCCTGTCAACTTAATGGAATATTTGTCTATGAAAAAATACAAGAAGAATTTCCAGAAGGAAAAATATAGAAAAATTCTGCCTCACATTTAAGTGAATCTTGGTCAGTTTAAATAACAGAAACACTCCTGATTCTATGTTCATTATGTTAACTATGTATGCATTCCCATAGGTGTTTGATTTTACGATAGCAGAAGATGATGTTGAAATTCTGAATGGAATGCATGATGGGAGACATGTTTCCTGGGACCCAAGCCTTATTGTGTGAATGAAGGTTTGAGCTTTTTCCTTTGTCAGTGATCAGTGAGTCACACCATGTAATTTAAATTCAGGAAAGGTTACAAAAAGAATATAATCATAAGATTAATGTCTGCTATTAATGATAACTGATTTGAAATCCTTAACATTGATAACAGACAAAAGATACTTCTGAGGGTAGCACTTTTGTACAGACATCTTAGATTTCCATCTCAAATCCTGATCTGTAGTTCACTGAAGCCCATGCAAAGCCTCCTATTTACGCCATTGACCCTGCATCAGGCCATTTAATCAAAGAGCATGAGGAGATACCCCTTCTTTAAAAATGTAAGAAAAAATGCTACCTGCTAGTGTACAACGTAGGTGTTAAGTACAAAATAATTTTTCAAGTACTTTGTTAGAGAGATACAATGTATGAAGAAGAAAAAGCTGGATGAAAAGAATATGTTAGTGCCATTATTATTACAGTATTTATACTGTGCAATATACTGCAAATCTCCATCAAAAATATAATCTCAGTGTAATAAGCAATATCTGAGCATCACCAAAAAAAGTTTTATGCATATTATTGCATAATGATGGCATTGACCCAGAGAGTTCTATGCATATTATTTACAAGCCTGTAGGTATAACAAAGTAGAAATCTTTCCAGATCAGTCCATGTACAAATAAACAGTCTGCATGACTAAGAGTTGAGTAGCAAGCTCTAGGAGCCAAAGAGGCATCTTTGTTATTACTGATCTTTTTCTCTTACTGGAAATTCTGGTGAGTTTTGTGTAGCTTTTACTGAGAATTAGTTTAGCTTTCATTTGGGATGTGTACAGGAAATCTCATTAAGAGACTGTACTGTTCCTCAGATTTTCTAATAAAATATGGATGTATGTAAAGAGATAGATGTAGATATAGATATATGTAGTTTACAGATCTGTTTTGAGAAATATGTCTGCAGAGTCTTTTATCAGCTGAGTATTCAACTTCTGGTCACATTGGTTTGATATTTTAGGAGTTCCTGTGTCTAGAAAGGTATGGAAAATCTGACTGTGATTTATATTGTGTGTGGACTTCCTGCGGCAGTTTTCCCAGTGCTGTTCTGCTTTAGTCATATCGTGAAACAAAGCTCCTTAGTTTTTTATCAAGAAGTGACTTACGGCAATCATATATTCTAGCCTGCATTGTTTGTCCTCAAAGTAGAGCTTCTATACAGCTTGGCTAAAACACAGACAAACTTACCTTTTTGATAACAGCTCCTCAGAATAATTGGCTGTTTTTTCCTGGTAAACATTTCTGCAAAAATTTGTCTAGATTTGCCTCTGGAATCATTGATGTATTATTTATTATTTTAAAATACAAGATACTGTATGAAATGCTGCGCTCGCTAATACCTGTACAATGTACTGTTCCAAGAAAGATACACGATCTCCATAGTAAGATTATTTTCTAGGGTTGCGAGTGTGGCCTGCAGTTCAGGGTGCTTCAGTATCTGGGAATGCCACTTTAGGTGTCTTAAGAACAGCTATGTACCTGGCTCAGCTGTTGTGATGAGGGGTTCAATAGTTCCAAAAAGTAAGGCTTATTTATAAAATTAAGGTAACTTTTAGGCTTTTTTTAGCTTTTGCAGAAAATGATGGTAATGACTTAAGCGAAAACTGGAAAGACTGCCCAGAAATAAACCTTTCTACCAGTGGTCGCCAGCTATTCCTGCTTTTGAAAAGTCACTTTATAGAACAATACCTTAGCAATATGAAAAAAACCTGTTACTGTGCTGTTGAGGGACTCCTTGCTACACAGGGTATCTGAACTCATAAAACGACGACTTGAAGTGAATCATGTGCCTAGTATTCACTCAATGTGCCTTTTTGGCAGCGAAGACTTTCTCAGAAACTACAAGAGAGAAGTTGTTTTACCTCTAGTTCTCTCTAAAGAAACAGACTTCGCATCAGCATACTATTTCCAACACAAATGATGCATACAAAGTGAACCAAATCTTTATGTATGCGAGCAAATTCAGTATTACCAGAACAGTATCAGTTAGGACTAGTTACGTAGCTAGAAGTCCCATGTTGGTCAGAACAGCTCTGTGTTTTTCTGCGCTTATTTCTGACTGATTACCTCCCTGTTCTGAGCTAAACAGAAGTAAAACATATTTTCTTGCTAATCCCCCAGATAGATGACTTTAGGCTACAGTGAGGATGGCTTCCTAATTCATTGATATATTTCATTGTTCCCTCTGTCAAAGAGATTCTACAATGGTTTTTGTGTCTGCATCTGCTTTTGCTAGGAAGTCAAGCCACCGTTTTCTCTGATCTAGATCATGGTGTCTGAGCAGTACAATGAGTAATGAAAGGAATAATCAGCTAGAAATAGTATCACTAAAAAAGCATTCTTCAGGAGCAGTTGTGGGAATTTACAGTTTCAATCTGATGCTTGCTTTCCTACCTGCCTTCAGACTTTATTGTTGTTGGTTCAGGACTTTTTTCTGGGTTTTTTTTGTTGTTTGTTTGGGGTTTTTTAATGTAATCTTTCCTAGCAATTCCTTTGCTACCAGGTAGTGGCTTTAGAACTACAGAAGAGTTTAATTTTAACTATGTACAAAGTCGAGTATAATTTGAGGCAATGTAAGCTTTTCAAGTGCCAGGACTCAGCTGACCCACGCTATCTTTCTGCCAGGTGTGGTGTGCAGTTTTGCACATTGTGCCATCACTAACAGGCGTTGTTTTCTGCTAGAAGCTGTAATTGCCTCAAGAAACTGGAATCCTGTTATCTCCTGTGTGCTTGGGATACATCACTGGAGCCTCTTCCTTTGAATTCACAAGTTTTATACTATGTTAGTTAATTTAGAATCGTTGAGCAAATCCTCTTTTACTTTTGATCAGGTTGCAGAGGGAAAGACGGATTCAGTGGATTCATATTTTATGTTCCTCTCTACAACTACGTTGATGTTACAGATGTGGTAGGCAGTTTTCTTTTTAAGCAAAGGCTGCTGAAGAGTAAGTCAACATCACCTCATCTAAATGAACATTTCTAAAGTACTGACAACTTTGATCATAGTATAAAGAAATAAGACAACTAATAAGAAATCGGAAAGTGAACAGTAGTGAGATTTAGGGGTAGCAGTGAGGAGTGATGTTCTGTCATAGAAGCAGAACCTAGAAGACCAAAGGATATAAAAGTGCTGAATGTACAAAATCAGGACGTTTAACTCCATTTTTTTTATTTCTTCTTTGGTCAGTTAGCCTGGAGGTGCCCATTTTTTAAGATTTTTTTTTTTTTTTTTAACTCAGAATTCATCCCTCAAGTGAATTCTTGGAATTATATGCATATTCTTCCCCAGGGCTGAAATTCCTCCTCTGGTCCATATTTCTGTAAGACAAGCTTTTTCTAGAGAGAAAACGTTTTCACCTTTCTACAATGACCATTTTTAAGATACAGCAATGCATCCATTTTATCAGTGTAACCCATCATCTTGCCGATAAGAACAGAGAATACACCTGAAAACTGAAGGCACTTTTTCTTCCATATTATGTAGGTCATTTATGGTAGTGACTGATTGGGGCACTCCTTCCTAGTTGAGATAAACCATTATTTAAAATAAGATACAATTTATCAGTGTTACCTACCTAAGTGCAATCAGCTGCCTTTGCAGGAGCACTGTGACTCTTAATGGAAGGGAACTCTCTTGAAACAAATAAGGAAAAGAAAAAAATAAATTGAAAGTCAGTGGAAAGGGTGAGGCCGGTTTCTGTGCAGCCAAGTAGCTTCCTGTCTGACTCCGAGTGGCTCCCTCTCTCCTCTTTCTTGCCTATTTCTGAATTTCATCTTTTATATTACTGGAGATGAAGGCACCTAAGAACATTTAATTGGAAAATAGTGGGAATGGTTTTGTAAAGTGCATACTTCAGGAAAATTTTTAACCAGGCTGCAGAAGTGTTTCTACCACGCCTGTCCCCCAACATAACTTTCAAGACATTGTTTTTCTGACTAGCATGTGTAATAAAGAAACTATAATACTAGTAAGTTCCCAAATCCAGTAAGCCAAGCGGACTGCGTATTCACCCTTCTTTTTGCGCTGTGGTTAACAACAGCTGATTTTCTTTTTAAAATAGCAGTGCTGAACTGTTCTGACAAGAAAGCTGACATTAACCCCATGGTTTTGAAAATGGGGACAAAGGTGGAGTAGCTGTTGCTGACACTAATTGAATCCCAGCAGTTGACTTTCCCCATGGCCACACCCCTTCCAAAGCTTTGAAGCTCATCTCTGGCTGTAGTGCACTGGGTAAAATAACAGATAAGCCAACCTTCTGGCACTTTTTCGTGTTGCTCTGCTGGGAGTCTGTTTCTGTACTTAATCTTTCGGCGCTTTTTGCAGCCTCCATTAAGATGTCTGCACTTTTGAAAGAAAATGTCAAGTATTTGCACTGCCTTGCAGTGAGCCTATGTTATATTTATGATATAAATCATGCAGCCTTACTATTTGTCTTTATGAATAGCTGCTTATCCATCTGCAGCATCACATAGGACTAATGACAACTGCCAGGACATTATAGAGCAGTAATGACTTCTGAGGGACCAGAGCATGAGAACTATCTCCAAAACTTGCCACTACCCACTGGAAAGAAAAAAAAAGAGAAAAAGAAAGGAGAGGGAAGAAAAAAAAAAAAAAAAAAAAAGGAGCACAAAGCCTGAAATGAATTTAAATCAATGATGCTGGTACTACTTCCCAGTGCTATGACACATAGCGCTCTGTAAACCATTGTAGGCATGGCCAACATTATGCAATGTGCTTTTCTAAGCAACTTTGCACAGATCCATTGTACCAGATCTCAGTCACTGTGCCCAAAAGGAATGTTTATGATCTTAAATAGAGGTTTTGCTAGGCAGTGCCCTTTGAGAACCATTCTGTAGCTGAACTACTAATAGGAAATTCAAGAGTATGTTAGCAGCATTATCATCCTATTAATGAATGCTCTGGTTTTTCTTCAGCAAAATAGATTTCCAGGACTTTCTAGATGA